GCACTTATTATAGTAAACATCAAAAATATAACTTTAACACAACGTGAAGAACAACTACCTTCTTTTTATTTGTTTTACTTTTTACTGAAATAGCTGTTGTAAGCAACTTACCTGAAAATATCCCAATGTTGGTGTTTGACTGTGAATAATACTCAGTCCTAAGGAAGCATTCAGTGGTTTGTCCATGTTAATTACCCGTATTTCATAACCCACTGGTAAATCAATCTCAGGTTCGTCTTTTGCCAACATATCAACTTTTTGTTGTTCAGTCTTTTTAGTGACTAAAGCATCCACAGTGTCATGTTCAAGGCCTTCCTGCAAGTTATGACTTTCTATAAGTTTTTGTTCTACATTACTCCACACAATTTGCTGGTTATTCTCTTCATTTTTAGTCACTGAAGCATCCACAGTGTCTTGTCTGAGGCTTTCCTGTGAGTTCTGACTTTGTTCTACTTTCCCATACTCTTCAGTTTCATACTGACTTTCTCTTGATTCAACAGAACTCCCATAAGAGCCTGAGTAATCAGAATGTTCTGAAGTATCAGCAGGGATAGCTATTCCTCTGGCAACAATAACTTTAGAATGCAGGGGAAGATTGCGGAATATTTCCAAAACTTGAGAGTATGACTTTTCTTTAATATTATGTCCATTGATATTAAGTATCTCATCTCCAATTTGAAGTCCACATGCTCCACCTTCAGCCCTATCAGCTGGCCCACCAGAATCCACAGAAGAAACAAATACAGATTCTACACGTTCTTGACTATCACGATCTCCATTTATCCGGAGTCCCATACCTAACTTTTCTCCTTCATTGCGATATAAATCCAATATGGCTAGGGGTCCTTGATTAATAACTCTATCTTCATGTAAAGATGTTCCCATTGTAGACATGAATGTACCAGTTTTCACATCAGATGAATTAGTGGAGTATTCACCACCTTGATCCACATCATAATCACGTTCTACCTCATAGTCTTCATCGCTGTCAGATTTATTTTCAACAGCACTAAGGTGCCTAGCATACTGAGCTGCTAATTCTAAACTGTCGCTTGTAACTGAGGCTCTATCACTATCGAAAGCTGAACCATTGCTTGAAGTACTTTTTATACTTGTCTGCAAATGATTATCCTCTTCCACATCGCTGTTTTCCGTACTTGCATCCGATGGCAGATATTCCGGTTCCCATGTTGGATCAACTTCATCAGTTCCAAGGTACTCTCCTGTATGATAGTCAAGCTTCCGGGCTGAGGCTTCACTCACCACAGATGAATTACTCGTAGAGTTTATAGAATGAACAATGAACTCCTGGGGAGATCCTGATATTTTTGGAACTCGATTGACAGGACTTTGATTGGTCACTGAAGAATGTGGTGTAGCCATGATGTGAGCCAGCTCAGAATCAGTACTTGGGTAGTCCTATTAAAACAAAATAAACAAAATGTAATTAATTACAGTCAGCTGATTTAAAATATTGTTATTATATACTTTGTATTGCACAAAACCCTATGGCAATTGTGCCTTCACATCATGCAATAATTTTCCATATCATGCCTGGCTTTTATCATTCAAAACAAAATGTGTCATTCTAAATTACGTCGTGTGATTGAGGTCACGTCGTGATTAATTGTAATTACACCTATAAGGTACACGATAAAACCTTTATGGGCTGGATACAGGTTTTGCTGCCCTCTGTTGTATGGCTTATTACCTCCCTCGCAAGCTCCCGCTGCAGACCTTGGGCTGCAAAAGCAGTATCAAGTCAATAAAGATTATTATATGTATAATTTTGATTCAAATATTACTAGTAATTAGGACAACAATCAGGTAAATGTTCAGTTAGTTAGTTAGTTACTGAACATAAACATATTCTAAAAGCTTGGATATAAGAGAACATGGATTAAATAAAAACATAAAAAAGTTGACACATTATTTCAATTTGACTCAAAGCTTATTAAACTATATATGGAGACTTTTCTCTTCTCTACACACCATCTACAGATGAGTATACAGACAGTTACATACATGGATAACTAGTCTGGATACAAAGCATGCAGTAAACCCACATATTCCCATAAACCATCTTGAGTTCACACTGACAGAGTGCCCTCTAGTGGTAAAATTCTAAAATTACTGTTAAAGAGTCCACAAACAAAGAGTTGCAAAATATGAAACTATCTTGCTGTTTTCCAATTTTATGTATTCAACAAAAAGTTTTATTTTTAAAGACATATAGTAACCATGGTAAAATGATTAGACCCTTTTGTCTGATTTGTGTTCTTCAGTATCAGTATGTCTATTAACTACTTAACCATGCAGAGGGATCATTCAAGTTATAAGTAAAACATACCGGTAGAAGCCACCTAACATGTTTAACTGAAATAGTAGGCTTAGTAGGCTGGCATTAAAGGAAAGAAAATAAGAAAATTAATATAACATGTAAGCTTTGTTTATTATAGAACTGTATCACTTCCATTGCTAATGCAAAACAATCATATATAAATGAAATGTTTTGGAACAAGACTTGAAAATGAATAG